ACTCTGAAGCAGTTTGAACTCAATTCCTTCTGTAACCTCTTAGTTTAGCTAGCTATGTCTCTGTGCAATATGGGAGGGGAGAAGCAACCTCTGTTCAGTGGAAGGAGTTAGGGTGGGGTAAAGGGTGGGAATGTTCCCTGTGCCAGGTGTCACGGCTGCTTCTGTCACCAGGAAGGTGCCTAAAGGAAGCAGGGAAAGGCTCTCTAGCTATCCCTGGGTGAAAGCACCATAAATCCCCTTTGAGAAAACTGTCTGCCTAGATCCCAGACCCCCTGACAGCTGAACGGATCTTAACTCCTGATTCTCTACGCTGCTCGGGGGTGGAATAATCCATTATGAAGCCTCATTTTTTGTGGAAAAAAATGGCAACATGGGCATTTTGTGACCCTGGAATTCCTATAGGAGTCAGACATGCTGTACACCTCTTTCAATTGGCTCACTGCGTGTGGGACTGAGACAGCTGCACACTGGTATGTAGCCTGATATCTTCCTAGACCTATGTCACCAGTTGCATTTTCTCCTATATTCAACCTGATCTCCTCACTTAGCAAAGGTACTGATGCTCCACCTGGTGGAGAAAAACAAATGAGCTCTGAGATTTCAGCAAGCTCCTTATATGCAGGGGATGACATCACTAAAAAGTCTCAATATGCCATCTCCATCTGCTAGCAGGCAGAACAGCTCCCAAGAATCTAGCTTGGTCAAGATAACTGGAGAGAGAGAGACATTCTACTACCTGTGCTCCAGAATCTGCTAACTGGATTTCTAGGTGTAGTTTAAAGTTTTCATTTTGACCCTAACTGTTCTGCACCCTGATTTCTCTAACTGTATAATATTGCAGCAGTTCTCTTTATTGTTGTGGGTTCACTTGTTTTGCATGCCACAGAGTGAATGTGCTATGAAAAAAGTAGGAAAGGTAGCTCTGCTTGCTTTTTTTTTTTTTCCTCTTTTGTTAATTGCTACAGTGTTCTGTCTCTCTTTCTAGTCTTCACAGAAAACTAGGAAAAGGGCAAATAAGTAAATGCACACACCTATGTAGAAAGTGCTGTTGATGACTGCCTTGCTACTAACACTGAAAGAACTCAATTAATAAATCCTGCTGGAAGCACTGGTGCAGCGAACTAGCAAATGGAAAATTTAGGTACAAGAAACTATAAAAGCCAGATACCTCAGGAGACCTATTAGTCAGGGAGTCTCTGGTTCAAGGCTTGCTAGAAAGCCTCACATTACTGTATGCTAAATCCTTCTGTAGGTTATATTGTAATTTATAGTGATCTTCTGCATGTTTTTGGGGGGGAGGGAAGTACCTTTCCACAAAGTGAGCAAGAACTAATTACCTTTGATTTCTTTACGCTATGTGGATAGACTGTATTTTCTTTACAGCCTATCCAGCTGCACAGTGTCTATGACAACCCAAAAAGAATGGCATTCTTGGTGAGACGACTTGATTCTGGAAATAATTTCTCTCTTTGGACTTCCAGAAAGGAGATATGACAACTTACAGAGAATGCTGCAAGGCTTATGTTTTTCCAGGCTTTTTCTAAGTATGAAGAGGATGTTGGGTAGGGGTGAGTATTAAGTAGCGTTTGGCCATATGGCTTGGAAAAGTCTCAGTTGGCACTGGACAATTGTATTGTTTTCTTAAATGAGTTTAGACTTGTACTAACACATTTTTAGAAAACCAAATAAAAACATCCCATCCATAGCACAACACGGTTATGAAACAAGGCTAACTTTGAACATGAGAGATTGTAATTATGCAAGACAGGTCTTTCCAACTAGCCACAGGTGTATATTGCATAAGTAGGTAAAAATGTGTCATTCATGAGAGAAGTAGCTATGACTTCTGCAGGACATATAGTAAGTGAAAGAAACTGGCCTATGTCGGTTGGCAGAAGAAAAACAATGTGTAATAACTATATCTGTTGTGACAATTCCTAAATAACTTTTACTGTGTTTCTGAAGTTTTCCTTGATCCTCTTTTTCATTATAACAGAAGAAAAATTCAAACAAAAACTTATTTGATGTGAAATGATGATGTAATCTGACAATTCACAAGCACCTCCATATCAACAGCAAATGTGAAAGGAAGAAAAAAAAAGAACTGAAAACTAACTGATCTATTCAGTTTTCAAACCTAAACAGCAAAAAAATATTGAAAACTTATCTCAAAATGGTATTTTAGCAACATAAGCACCAATAAATAAAACTTCAAAGAGACTTCAAATTCAAAGACTTCCACATTACTCAGGATAAATTCATATTTGCTAAGGAGTGACTGAATTCCTTATTTTTGTATTTCTGGAACATCATCATCTTAGGACAGAGAATGTACAAAACAAAAACAAGACAAAAATAATTGAGTTACTTCTTCTCAAGTATATAACTGTGAAACTTCTCCAGAAATTCAACTGTGTCTGCTTACTGAACATATTTAACAAATTGTTCTGAGAGTACTGACTCCTAGCTACTCTGAGTTTGTTCTTTTTAGTTTGATATTGGACAAGAGCAACTGCATAAATCTTGTAGCATTTACCATTTCCTGTGGTCTAACATATGGCAGTTGCCTCCGATATCTTTTTCAATACAATCACAGAGTACTTTGGACAGAAATACCTCAACAACTTAGTCTCCTACCTAAAAGATTTCTGTCAAAAACCTTAAGTTAATTGACTTTCATAATTAATTTGCAACAAAAAGTACGGTTAAGAAGTTTGGTGCTTTCACAGTCATACAACTTGCATGACACGACCATAGCCTAAGAGTTCAAGAATCTTGAGTAGGGTCCCAAAAAAAATACACCATGAGATTTTTTGAAAAGAATAAATCAGGTTTTAATCTAATTCCCCCCGCCTTCCCCAAATATGGGTGTGACAATTACAGAGTAAAAAAGTGCATACAAGTACAGGCTGAGGTTCCCCTGCATATCTTCTTTGTCCCGGACCCCAGTCTGCTTTGCTCCTTTGATTCCCACTTTGATAGGCTCCTTTAACCCCCAAGAGCTACACTACCCCTGGCAGACTCCAGCACCTGTCCTCTCTCTGTAGTCTATGGAGGAAGGGGCTTCCTACCTTAACTCTGTTAGCTCCCTCCCTCCTGCAGTGTGACTGGGGAAAAGGACAGGGTGAGGATCCTGCTTTTGAGCTTGGTGGGAATGGGCTACTTCTAGTATCACCAAAGACAAATGCCCAAATGAGAGTCAGAACCCGCAAAACCATGAAATTTAAAATAAATTCAATTCAATCTCAGGTTCTTTTTATTTGCCTTTTGGGTTTTGTGCCTTTTGGGAAACACTCGGGTCACATTTTCAAATTTTTTCTCCCCCCAACCATAAGAACTAGAAACATATTCCTTTTTTTAAAATAAAGGTTGAGATTCTAATCTAATTAAACTCTGAGCTTCTGGGGGTATTTAAGGAAAACACCAAATGTTCTCAGACTTGCAATAAGACCATGAGAGCTGGCAACACTGTTCTGCTCTGTCTGCTCCAGGGCTCTGCCGTGCTCAGTATGTGTAGGAGTACTACTGTACTGCAGGCAGCAGCTACAGTTACAGCAAAATGGCCAGGAGCATCCAAACGGGAAAACCACAGGCAGTTTGGGCAAAATTAAATCAGGCCGCAATAGTAACATTCATGATACTATCTCAAATGTTGACAACACTGTGAGGGTATGTCTACACAACAGCTGCACAGATATGGCACTGGAGCTATGCTGCTCTAGCATAGATGCTTCCTACATCAACGAAAGGGGTGTTTCTGTTGATGTAGGTGTATCCACCTCTCTGAGAGGCAGTAGCTAAGTCGATGGAATAATTCTTCCATCAATTTAAATGTGTCTACAGAGGGGTTAGGTTATCCTAACTACGTTGCACAGGGCATACAAGTTTTACAGTCCTGAGCAATGTAGCTAGGACGACCTAACTTTCAAGTGGGGACCAGGTCTGTCCCACTCTGCTTACCTTTTCAGAGTAAGACAAATACCTCACACAAGAATGCACCCTGCTTTGCCTGACATATATATGTAACAGGCATAGTGGAAAACTGAGTGACAGGTATCCATCAGAGACTCTGAACGAATGGATCACCACTGTGAGAAAGAGATTTACAGAATCTCTAACAGGGAGTGGGAAGGGAGAAGCAAAATTGCCTCTTACGTCCTCACCAGTAGCTGGAGCGGAGGAAGAAAGAGAAGAGGGAAGGTGGATGAGAGACCAACCTCTCACACACTAGTCCCAATCGGTAAGAAGGTAGGTACCCTTCATGCTTTCATCTGAAGTGAACACGGTGACTTTGCAGGAAGGTCCAAGGTATTCATTTAGTTTTCCTATGATTTTTGTTTCTTACCATATGGCTTATCAGGAAGCACAAGAGCAAGTAAATGTACCAAAAAATTGCAGTACATCAAATGTGAAATTTACCTGTTTTTAACCTACACGCAAAAGCTATCTTAAAGAACATTACGGTTGCAAAGTCAAGCACTCAACACATAGGAAATTCCCAAATTAAGGTTGCCTGTGCAAGAATCTTAGGCTGTGCATAAAACATCTAGCACAATGAGGCCCTGCTTCCTGCAGAAACAGAAATCTATTCACATGACATGAAGATTTTTACCAGTGATACAAACAAAAAATATATTTTAAGATTCAGATTTCATATCTCCCTTCCCTCTCTCATAGTAAGATTTTCAGTAAGATTCATCATACTGAGAACAGGAAAACAGTTGATGATGATTGCTGAACAAAAGGTTTTTTAAATTTTGGCATATATAAACATTTCTTAATTTGAGTCCTGAACCATAAAGTTGCTAATGCATCTTCTTTCATGTTCTCTAAGGAAGAAAGAAATTGCACATGTTCAACGTACAATACTGTCATTGCCACATATAATACTTGGTATTTCTTAGAGTAGTTTTGATCATAGTCACTAATTACCAATGGTAAAAGGCATAATTACATAGAGAATGAGTTTGCAGTGTCCCCATTAGATGTGAACGTCTTACCTGTTTGGGTTTGGGTCTTACTGGGATGATGCTGTCCACCTGCTCCTGGCTGTGGAGGAGGACTTGCCCCTGCTTGTCCAGTACCTTGTGGTGGGCTTGCGCCAGTCAGAGTCCCGGTAGGCAGTGGCTGACCTCTCTTTAAGAGCTGCTTCTGTTCTTGCTGGCGGAAGCGTGGAGGCACCTCACGAGGCAGGTAACGGGATGCAGCTGGCTGCTGCCCATTAGCAGATGCACGCTTGCCATTGCTGCTGTTGGTAATAGTGCTGGTGGAAGTACTGGTACCGGTACCGGCAGGCTGGGGCTGGCTTAAACTGGTCTTAATAGGTTCTGGCACTGTATAAAATGAAACAAATAATAGTTTAATCCAAGGAAGAATTAAAGATAATTTCTTCAAAATGAGTGGGTAAAAGAAATTATAAAATGTAATCTTTTTTTTAGAAATGCAAAGTAAACTATATACAATAATTATATACAAAATTTATAAAGAAACTTCTATGGAGCAAAATGTCAACATTTATTTTAGGAATAAACAGTTTTATCAAAGTTTCTGTTAGGAGGGATAATAGTATAAAATTGACCAGTGCTTTTCCCAACAATCCTGAAGCAACAAACACAGGAATAAACAGGGTAATACCAAAATTACTTTACAAGATGAAGAGGTTACCCACCTTGTGCAGTAACTGTGGTTCTTCAAGATGTGCCCTCCTATGGGTGCTCTACTGTAGGTGTATCCATATCCCTGCATCTCAGATCAGAGATTTTAGGTAGCAGTGTCCATTTGGCCCGCACGTGTGCTCTCCCTGTCTTGTGCCTTGCCTCGAGGCTATCTAGCACTGCGTGGACAAACCATCTATCCTCAGTTCCTTCTCTACTGCAGAGACACTTATTAAGAGCTCCAAAGTAGAGGGGAGGAGGGTGGGTCGTGGAGCACCCATAGGGACACACATCTCGAAGAACCACAGTTACAGCACAAGGTGAGTAACCTCTTCTTCAAATAGCGTCCCTATGGGTGCTCCACTGTAGGTGACTGTACAACATTACCCCTTATGGAAGGGTGGGACTTCAGAGCCAAGTTTAGTACTGATGATAATACTGTGGAGCCAAACACAGCATCTGATGCTGAGTCATAGGTGATTGCATAATGTTCCGCAAAAGTATGAGCAGATGTGCCCCAGTAGTAGCCCAAGTTGCTGCTCTGCATATTTCTGTGATGGGGACGTTTTTAATGAAATGGAAACGGATCTTGTGGAATGAGTTTGAACTCCAGACAGAAGTTGAAGATTGCAGGTACAATAGCAATAGGTAATGCAGTTCAATATCCATCTAGAGTCTCTGTTTCGGGATTGAGGATCCTTTGGACCTCTCTGCAATCAAAAGGAATAGTTTAGCAGATTTTCTGAAAATTATTGTTCTAACCAAATAGAATGCCGAAGCTCTCCTGACATTGAGTTTATGTAATATTGCTTCTCTCTTGGCACGGTGTGGCTTTGGAAAGAAGGTTGGGCGGTAAGTAAGTTGGTTTATGTGGTGTCAGTGTAACCTTATCCCTGAAAAAAAAAAAATTGTGAAGGGTGGGTGTGCAATTAGAGCCTCTATTTCCCTGATTCTCCAAGCCAAGGTGATGGCTACTAGGAATGCCGTTTTCATAGACAGATGCATAACTGAGCATGTGGCCATGGGTTCAAAAGGAGGCTTTGTAAGGCACTTGAAAACCAAGTTAAGGCCCCACGCTGGTGTAGGACACCCGATTTGTAAGAGGTTACCCATACCCTTGAGGAATCTTTTCATTGTAGGATGAGTAAATTCAGAGTAGCAGTCTATCTTCTGATGAAAGGCTGTTACGGCTATGAGGTGTACGTTTATTGAATTTAGAGATAATCCTGACTTTTTTAGATCTAGGATGTAGTCTAGTACTAGCAGGAGGGGAGAGGATATGGGGGTAACATGTTTTGAGTCACACCAGCTTTGGAATCTTTTCCACTTCTGCATATACATGTGACGAGTTATTTTTCTGCTATGGAATAACACCTCTTTCACATACTCTGAACAGGAACTCTCCATGTTTTCGAACCACTGAGGAACCATACCTTGAGTCGGAGAACCTGTGAGTTGGGATGGCAGATCTGTCGGGCATTCTGAGAGGAGAGGTGAGGAAGGGACTGAAAAGTGATTGGCGGGCACATTGCTAACTGAGTAAGGTATGAGAACCACGTTTGTGTTGGCCATGTGCGAACTATGAGAATAACTTTTGTTCTTTCTTTTCTTATCTTGAGCAGGACCTTCAATATGAGAGGAATTAGAGGAAAGGCATAAAGGAGATCTGTGTTCCAGTGAAAGAGGAAGGCATCTCATAGCAAATGGTGTCCTAGACAAGCTCTGGAGCAGTACTAGGAACATTTTTTGTTTCTGGTCATGGCAAATAAGTCTATTTTTGGGACTCTCCAATGCCAAAATACATTGTGGAGAACAACAGGGTCCATTTCCCATTCATGTTCCTGCGAGAATGTCCTGCTGAGGGTGTCCACTGTGGTATTCTGCACAGCCAGCAGGAAGGCTGCTGATATGACGACGCTGTGCCAAATGCACTAATTCCATAGTTTCACTGCCTCTGCGCAAAGGGATGGTGATCTCACTCCTCCCTGGTGGCTTATGTAGAACATACATGCTATGTTGTCTGTCATGACTTTTATACATTTGTCCTTGATCACTGATAGGAAATGTCAACAAGCATTCCTGACTTTGAGCTACAACAGGTTGATATATAGTGTTGATTCTAAGAGGAAACATTTGCCTTGGACCATGTGATTGTCTAGATGAGCTCCCCAGCCCAGTAAAGATGAGTCTGTTGTCAGTATCGAAGTTGGAGGTGGCTGAGTGAAGGGGATCCCTGTGCAGACATTCTGCGGATCTTTCCACCATTTGAGAGAGTCTTTGACCATCGAGGGCATTGACAGCAGTTTATTCAATCTCTCTCTGTTTGGTGTGTATACCGTTTGGAGCCATGCCTAAAGGCAATGAGTGTGGAGCCTTACGTGACTTATTATAAAGGTGTTTACTGCCATGTGCCCCAGTAGTAGCTGAAGGCAATTTCTGGCCAATGTCCGGGGGCTGATCTGAATGGCATCGATTAAGATACTTAGGGTGTTGAACTTGTGTAGCGGGAGAAAGGCTTTGGCCTTCACCACATTTAGATAAACGGCAACAGAGAGTCCTGTGGCACCTTTAAGACTAACAGACGTATAAAAAATTTAGGCTGTGGATGGCATTGCGTTCTGCACGACTTAGGTTATGAGGCAGGCGATGTTGTTTTTCCACAATTTCTGCCTGTGCATGTCGGTGAAAGCATTCTATGTATAGGTCCAGACTGTCATTTCGACCCTCAGGAGGAGTCCATGTGGAGTTGTTCTTCCTGTGTTGTTGGTGGGAGGGTATCTGTGTATCAGTGCACTGTTCAGTGTTATCTTTGAGTCGGAGGCGGCAAAAGTAGGCTTCCAGACCACTGCAGAACTGTATCATGTTCGTGGGGGTGCTGGGGCAAAAAGAGAGTCCCCGAGATAGGACAGACTCTTCTGCTGGGTTGAGTGTGTAGCTGGATAAATTGACGATATTGCTGGGTGAGTTAGGGGTACCACTGTTGTGGCCCCATGTGGCAGGTAGGAGTTTAGACAGCTTACGGTCCTTTTTCCTTTGTAGAGAAGTGAAGTGTGTAGTGTAGATCTCCTGTCTTATTTTAGTGAAGTCCATTCGTGTGGAGGGTTGGTTATTAATGAAAGTCTCCAGGTTGGAGAGCTCTTTTTTGATGTTTTCCTGTTTGCTGTATAGCAAGCCTGCACAACTCGTAAAGCGGCGAGGGCCATATTACTCCAAAGAAAACAGCTGAGGGCCAAAAACCCCCGAGCACCACCAACCCCCCCCCCCAGCGCCACCCAGCTCCCCCGAAACAACCCCCCCACCCCCAGCGCCACCCGCCCCACGGAAACAAACCCTCCTTCCCCAGCGCCGCCCCACCGAAACAGCAGTATTGAACCTCGATAATATGTTATAGCGGGCCCCTAAGGTAGTATAATTAAGGTAAAAGAAAAATGTCTTTTTGCTAAAAGTAGAATAAGATCTTCCCCCCACTTTGTAATCGATTGCCCTGTTGAATGAATGAGGTGGGAATGAGGAAGGCGTGGAAGGCAGGCACCTCCAGACAGCTGCAACCCTTGGAGAGGGCTGGGCCAGCTCTAGGATTTTTGCCGCCCCAAGCAAAAAAATTTTTGGCCGCCTCCCCTTTCTTTTTCGTGCCCCTCTGCCCCGGCCCCACCCCAACTCCACCCCTTCTGAACCCCTTCCCCAAATCCCCAGCACCGCCTGCTCCCCCGGAGTGCTGCATTTCTCCCCCCTCAGGCGAGGGAGGGGGGAGAAGCGGAGCAGCGGCGCGTTCAGAGGAGTAGGCAGAGCAGAGGTGAGCTGGGGGGGAGGCCCGCAGGAAGTAATGGGGGGGGGTTAGAGGAACCGCTCCCCGCTCCAGCTCACCCCCGCTCCACCACCACCGCCTCCCATGAGCGCCCGCCACTCGGCTTCTCCTCCCTCCCAGCCTTGCTGCGCGAAATAGCGGTTTCGCACGTGGCAAGCCTGGGAGGGAGGGGGAGAAGCAGAGCAGTGGCGGCGCACTCAGGGGAGCAGGCGGCGGGGGAGCGGAGGCGAGCTGGGGCAGCGAGAGCACTTTTTCCCCATGCCCCGGAGTCAGCACCTATGATGGCCGGCGCCAGAATGCCGCCCCTAGAAATGTGCTGCCCCAAGCACCTGCTTGTTTTGCTGGTGCCTGGAGCCGGCCCTGGGAGAGGGGATGGGAGCCAGACCAGATCAGTAGAACAGGTCAGCCACCGACTCACCACTCGCCTCCTCAGCCCCCCTTCCCCGGCTCGCCTACTCATCCCCCGCCACTGCCTGCTCGCTTGCCTCCTCAGCCCCCCACGCCTCCGGCTCGCCTGCCCCCCCGCCACTGCCCGCCCACTCGCCTCCTCAGCCCTCCACTTGCACGGCTTGCCTACTCATTCCCCGCCACTGCCCGCCCGCTCACCTACTCAGCCCCCCTCCCTCACCCGCCGCTTGCCTACTCACCCCCACCCCCCCCGCGGGCCGCACAGTGAGCCCATCTACTCAACCCCCGCGGGCCGCACAATGAGCCCCCGCGGGCCGCATGTTGTGCAGGCCTGCTGTATAGGATGCTGATCAGGTGGTTCCTCAGTTTCTTTGATAGTGTATGGCATAATCTCTCACTGTGGTCTGTGCAGTATGTAGATAGCAATGGATTTTTCACCTTCAGTCCATTTGGTATGATGTCCATC